TACATTTCTCTAACCTTCACTAAACAAATGTATCCTTTACCTTCCCTAACCCAATGTATCTCTTGCCTTCCTTCCCTAACCCAATGTATCTCTTGCCTTCCTTCCCTAACCCAATGTATCTCTTGCCTTCCTTCCCTAACCCAATGTATTTCTTACCTTCCCTAACCCAATGTATCTCTTGCCTTCCTTCCCTAACCCAATGTATTTCTTACCCTCCCCAACCCAAAGTATCTCTTAACTTCCCTAACCCAATGTACCACTTACCTCACTAATCCAATGTATCTCTTACCTTCCCTAACCCAATGTCTCTGCTACCTTCCCTAACCCAATGTCTCTGCTACCTTCCCTAACCCAATGTATGTGTGACCTTCCCCAACACAATGTATCTCTTACCTTTCCTAATCCAATGTATTACCTTACCTACCTCAATGTATGTCGTACCTTCTCTGAACCAATGTATCTCGTACCTTCTCTGAACCAATTTATCTCTTACCTTCCCTAAATCTATGTATCTATTACCTGCCCTAACCCAATGTAACTCTTAACATCCCTAAACCAATGTATCTCTTACCTTCCCCAACCCAATGTGTCTCTTACCTTCCCTAACCCAATGTATCTTTTCCCTTCCCCAACTCAATGTATCTCTTACCTTTCCCAACCCAATGTGTCTCTTACCTTCCTTAACCCAATGTAATTCTTACCCTACCTACCTCAATGTATCTCGTACCTTCTCTGAACCAATGTATCTCTTATCTTCCCTAACCTAATGTATCTCTTACCTTTCCCAACCCAATGTCTCTCTTATCTTCCCCAACCCAATGTATATTTTACCTTCCCTAAATCAATGTATCTCTTACTTTCCCTAACCCAATGTATCTGCTACCTTCCCTAATCCAATGTATTTTTTACCTTACCTACCTCAATGTATCTTGTATCTTCTCTGAACCAATGTATCTCTTACCTTCCCTAACCCAATATATCTCTTACTTCCCTAAAAGAAACAATTGGGGGGGGATTTACTAAAACTGGAAAGTGCAAAATCTGGCGCAGCTCTGCATAGAAACCAATCAGCTTCCAGGGTTTATTGTCAAAGCTTCATTGAACAAACTGAAGTTAGAAGCTGATTGGCTACCGTGCACAGCTGCACCAGATTCTCAGTGCACCAGTTTTAGTAAATCAACCAAAATGCATCTGTTACCTTCCTTAAGTCAATGCATTTACCAATTATCTTCCCTACAACAGTGTATCTGTCACCTTCCCTAAAAGAAACAATAGATCATCTACCTTCTAAAAGAAACACGTATTGTTCATACTGCTGAACATATTTAATAAATGCAACTGTTAAGGAAAAAAAGAAATATATCTACTACCTTCCCTAAGGCCCCATTCACATTGCAGCATAGCAGGAACGAGCATCCCCGCTGCATGATTTTGCACAGTCGCTTATGGCCAGTCTATTCACTTGAATTGGCTGCCTATGCGCGTTGCTCCTTTTTTGGCGATCAGCTGCACACAATTTTTAAATGTGTGGTTTGCTGCGATTGCAGTGCGATCCTGTCGTGTGACAAGCACTGCAAAATGGTATCACGCTTGGGGTGCCACTGAAGAATAACAGCATCCATACACAGGCTGTACAATTCTACCCGCATTTCCAAATCGCAAAGTGTGAATGGAAACTAAAAGAAACAATGTATCTCTTACCTTCCCTAAAAAAGAAACAATGTATCTCTTACCTTCCCTAAAAAAGAAACAATGTATCTCTTACCTTCCCTAAAAAAGAAACAATGTATCTCTTACCTTCCCTAAAAAAGAAACAATGCATCTCTTACCTTCCCTTTTTTTAAAAAAACAGAAAGAAAGAAAAGAAACAATGTATTTCTTACCTTCCCTAAAAAAGAAACAATGTATCTCTTACCTTCCCTTTCGAAAAGAAACAATGTATCTCTTACCTTTCCTTAAAAAAGAAACAATGTATCTCTTACCTTCCCTTTCGAAAAGAAACAATGTATCTCTTACCTTTCCTTAAAAAAGAAACAATGTATCTCTTATCTTCCCTAAAACAACATTTTTATTACCTTCACTAAAATGGGGAACTAGAAGAGGGGAAGCTACCTTTGCACTATGGCAAGTTTTTCAGTTTCAGATCACCTTTATTATTTTATTTATTACAGGTATTCACATGGAGCCGACAATTTACACAGCACTTTACATGTATTTTGTACATTCACATCAGTCCCTAACCCTCAAGGGACATACAATCTAAGGTCCCTAACAGGGGTGGACTGACAACCCATGGGGCCCCCGGGCAATAGGGGATTATGGGGCCCCTGTGTCCTTGGCCAAACTCAAAAAAGCCTATGAAAAAGGTACCAGGGGCATCTCATGGGTCCCCCTACTGACCCCGGGCCCTCAGACAGTGCCCGAGTTTCCAAATGGTCAGCCCGCCCCTGGTCCCTAACTCACATTCATACATACACATACTAGGGACAATTTAGACCGGATCCAATTAACCTACCAGCATGTCTTTGGAGAGAGCTACGAGGAGCAAATTTTAAATATTTAAATATTTCCTTACATTTTTGTCTGAAACTGAGATTTTTGAAACAAACAGTTCTTGTAATTTCCTCTAAGCTTTCTAAACCCATGAAGATGAAGGCGGTAGTTCAGTAACATAAGCAAGGTTTAGAATAATACGGGAATCTTAAAGTCTGCTAAATTGCTGTAAACTTTAAGCAGCTGTAAACTAAACTGAACGGAGCAAACACTGATTTTCTTTTCTGATAGACAAAATTCTCCTTTTCGGGAGCCAGACCCTAATATGAGAATTATGTAATAATAGCAGGGAACTGCCAACATCTGAAAACAATTTTCCCCAGACGCCACTCTCGTGTATGTGAACCTATACTTGATGTGGATGCTTTCAGGTTCACTCGGAGCGGTGCAAAGAGCAATTACTGCAAAGTGCAGGAACTCAGAGCAACCAATCAGAAATTATCTTGGCTAAGACCAAAGCAAACTGACCCACCAATGGACGTGATCATCATACAATTCTATTACACCCTATACATAGAACACTGCACCCCCAACATGACCCACCACTGGAAGTGATCATCATACCATTCAATTACACCCTATACATAGAACACTACACCCCCAACATGTCCCACCACTGGACGTGATCATCATACAATTCTATTACACCCTATACATAGAACACTACACCCCCAACATGTCCCACCACTGGACGTGATCATCATACAATTCTATTACACCCTATACATAGAACACTACACCCCCAACATGACCCAGCACTAAACGCAATCATCATACAATTCTATTACATCCTACACATAGAACACTACACCCCCAACATGACCCACCACTGGACGTGATCATAATACAATTCTATTACATCCTATACATAGAATACTACACCCCCAACATGACCCACCACTGGACGTGATCATCATACAATTCTATTATATTCTATACATAGAACACTACACCCCCAACATGACCCCCCACTGGACGTGATCATCATACAATTCTATTATATTCTATACATAGAACACTACACCCCCAACATGACCCACCACTGGACGTGATCATCATACAATTCTATTATATTCTATACATAGAACACTACACCCCAACATGACCCACCACTGGACGTGATCATCATACAATTCTATTACACCCTATACATAGAACACTACACCCCCAACATGACCCTCCACTGGACGTGATCATCATACAATTCTATTACACCCTATACATAGAACACTACACCCCCAACATGACCCTCCACTGGACGTGATCATCATACAATTCTATTACACCCTATACATAGAACACTGCACCCCAACATGTCCCACCACTGGATATGATCATCATACCATTCTATTATATTCTATACATAGAACACTACACCCCCAACATGACCCTCCACTGGACGTGATCATCATACAATTCTATTACACCCTATACATAGAACACTACACCCCCAACATGACCCACCACTGGACATGATCATCATACAATTCTATTGCACCCTATACATAGAACACTACACCCCCAACATGAGCCACCACTGGACGTGATCATCATACAATTCTATTATATTCTATACATAGAACACTACACCCCCAACATGACCCACCACTGGACATGATCATCATACAATTCTATTATATTCTATACATAGAACACTACACCCCCAACATGACCCCCCACTGGACGTGATCATCATACAATTCTATTACACCCTATACATAGAACACTACACCCCCAACATGACCCTCCACTGGACGTGATCATCATACAATTCTATTACACCCTATACATAGAACACTACACCCCCAACATGACCCTCCACTGGACGTGATCATCATACAATTCTATTACACCCTATACATAGAACACTACACCCCCAACATGACCCTCCACTGGACGTGATCATCATACAATTCTATTACACCCTATACATAGAACACTGCACCCCAACATGTCCCACCACTGGATATGATCATCATACCATTCTATTATATTCTATACATAGAACACTACACCCCCAACATGACCCTCCACTGGACGTGATCATCATACCATTCTATTACACCCTATACATAGAACACTACACCCCCAACATGACCCACCACTGGACGTGATCATCATACAATTCTATTACACCCTATACATAGAACACTACACCCCCAACATGACCCACCACTGGACATGATCATCATACCATTCTATTACGCCCTATACATAGAACACTACACCCCCAACATGACCCACCACTGGACATGATCATCATACAATTCTATTGCACCCTATACATAGAACACTACACCCCCAACATGAGCCACCACTGGACGTGATCATCATACAATTCTATTATATTCTATACATAGAACACTACACCCCCAACATGTCCCACCACTGGACGTGATCATCATACAATTCTATTACGCTCTATACATAGAAGACTTCACCCCCACCTGGACATAATGGATAGCTGTCACACTTTGCACACCATCCATGATCTTTGCATGGCCTTACCACATCAATCTGATCAATTTAGTCCTAATAAAGAGAACATAATAGAAATTATTTTTTGGGGGGAGGGGATGTGGCAGTTTTCAGAAATCACACTCTTCAATGCACGGATCTCTCCCAGGGTAAGCCACTCTGCTAATACTGATCTCCCTCCAGCATTTTGGGTGTGCCCTCCCGTCGCTGCTACCCAAGAAACCTGTGTCATCTCCCAATTCACGTGCTGCAGTGCCGAGGAGACGGGGAGGCTTAGTGTGACTGTGTAATACGCAGTACAGACAAACCAGTTCTACTAAGCAGGTCTATTTTCAGGTTTGCCTAATTATCCTCAGCCAGACATTTTAGCATTTTATGGTTCTGCTTTGCTCGTTAAGTTTCCTCCGTATAATCTCCTTAAGGCGAGAATTCCCATACCAACCACTGGTGGTTTAGTTCTCATGGTGTCTCGAGATGTGCTCGGTGTTCTGTCCATTCAACACTACAAATGAATCCCTGAGATGCATACAAATACAAACCTACTTCATTTGTAGCCGTTCTTGTCTCTAATCAGGTGATCCTGGAACGCCCCGGCATACTGGAGATGCCGGAACACCCTTCACAGTACTTCTAACACAAAGAAAGTCTTACATAAAAAATAATAACAATAATAATAATAATACAAAAATCCCTAATAAGTGTCTCAACTCTGCCAATCTGATTCATACTATCCCCAAATGTCTGAAGGTGACTGCTGGTTGTCAAGGCTTGCTTGGAATTGCTGTTGAAAGCTCAACTCCAAAAAAGACGCAAATCAATGCAAGCTGGAAAGGGAGAGCCGGCAACTCAGACAAACAGGGGTGTAACCATAGGGGACACAGGGGTCGCAATTGCAACCCAGCCCCCATTCTCCATGGGGCTCCCCTGAACACGGGGTAGGAGGAATGGTGGGGCAGCATATACTGGAACTGATGCCCTCCATTATCCTCCTGCACTGAATGCCCATGGGAGGGAGGAACATGGAGGGCATTGATTCCTCTATATCACAGGTGTCCCTGGTGGCCCTCCAGCTGTTGCCAAACTACAAGTCCCATGAGGCATTGCAAGATTGACAGTTACAAGCATGACTCCCAAAGGCGGAAGCATGATGGGACTTGTGACTGTCTATGTTGCAATGCCTCATGGGACATGTAGTTAAACTACAAGTCCCATCATGCCTCCGCCTTTGGGAGTCATGCTTGTGACTGCCTATCTTGCAATGCCTCATGGAACTTGTATTTAAACTACAAGTCCCATCATGCCTCCCCCTTTGGGAGTCCTGCTTGTGACTGTCTATCTTGCAATGCCTCATGGGACATGTAGTTAAACTACAAGTCCCATCATGCCTCCGCCTTTGGGAGTCATGCTTGTGACTGCCTATCTTGCAATGCCTCATGGGACATGTAGTTAAACTACAAGTCCCATCATGCCCCTACCTTTGGGAGTCATGCTTGTGACTGCCTATATTGCAGTGCCTCATTGGACTTGTATTTAAACTACAAGTCCCATCATGCCTCCGCCTTTGGGAGTCATGCTTGTGACTGCCTATCTTGCAATGCCTCATGGGACATGTAGTTAAACTACAAGTCCCATCATGCCCCTACCTTTGGGAGTCATGCTTGTGACTGCCTATATTGCAGTGCCTCATTGGACTTGTATTTAAACTACAAGTCCCATCATGCCTCCGCCTTTGGGAGTCATGCTTGTGACTGCCTATCTTGCAATGCCTCATGGGACATGTAGTTAAACTACAAGCCCCATCATGCCTCCGCCTTTGGGAGTCATGCTTGTAACTGCCTATCTTGCAATGCTTCATGGGACATGTAGTTAAACTACAAGCCCCATCATGCCTCCGCCTTTGGGAGTCATGCTTGTGACTGCCTATCTTGCAATGCCTCATGGGACTTGTAGTTAAACTACAAGTCCCATCATGTCTCCGCCTTTGGGAGTCATGCTTGTGACTGCCTATCTTGCAATGCCTCATGGGACATGTAGTTAAACTACAAGCCCCATCATGCCTCCGCCTTTGGGAGTCATGCTTGTGACTGCCTATCTTGCAATGCCTCATGGGACTTGTAGTTAAACTACAAGTCCCATCATGTCTCCGCCTTTGGGAGTCATGCTTGTGACTGCCTATCTTGCAATGCCTCATGGGACATGTAGTTAAACTACAAGCCCCATCATGCCTCCGCCTTTGGGAGTCATGCTTATAACTGCCTATCTTGCAATGCCTCATGGGACATGTAGTTAAACTACAAGCCCCATCATGCCTCCGCCTTTGGGAGTCATGCTTGTAACTGCCTATCTTGCAATGCCTCATGGGACTTGTAGTTTGGCAACAGCTGGAGGGCCGCCGGTTTGACACCCCTGCTCTATATGCTGCTCCCCACTGCCTCTCCTATCCTGGTTCCTGCTGCCCCTGGGCCCCTGCATGCTGTTTTTGCTGTCTCTTAACAGCTGACCAAAGCCCATCACAGGACTCCTAACAAATTGTAAAGAGTAATAAAATTGTCAAAAAAAATAAAATAAAATGGTAAAAAAAAATAATAAAAAATAAAATAAGAAGGGTGAAGGTGTGTTTCAAGGCAAGGTTGTGAAACATTCCCCAATTGTATCTAGATTTCCACATTGACCAGCACTGGACCATAGGATATTGTCATTGTATCTGATATAGGGATCTCCAGTTACATTACGGTTCCGGGGTTGGTTGTAGGTATATTGTATCAGTTGTGCAACCATTGGGCGACTTTTCCGGTAAGTCTACGGGGGGTGTAGGGTTGCCACCTCATCCCTTTAAAACCGAACACATATTAATGACACAGGTCATGAGGCTAATTTAATGCTCGTTAGGCTAGGTTCACACCTATGCAGTTTGCGTTTCATTTAAAATAAAAACAATTAAAAAGCAAAACTTAAAAAAAACGTATTTTTACCTGTTAAAAAAATAGAAAAAAAAACAAAAAGTCTAGGTTTACACCTATGAAGTTTGCGTTTGATCCATTTCTGCAGTGCGTTTAGCATTTTTGCGCGTGCATTTTTGATGTGTTTTGTTATTTTTTTTTTACTTGTTTTTTAATACGGTTTAATCTGTCCAGCAACAAGTAAAAAACGCACTACATGCTCTTCTGCAGCGTCTCCGTTGAAGTCTATAGAACCAAAAAACGCAGCGTTTTGCGTTTAAAAAAGTCCCTGACCCTTTGCAAAAAAAAAAACCGCCCCGGGTGAAAACGTGGAGATGTGAATCTGTCCCATGGGAAATCATGTCAAATGGACCACTGTGCGTTTCCGCAAAATGCATAGGTGTGAACCTAGACCAGGGGTAGGCAACCTGAGGGTCTCCAGCTGTTGCAGGACTACAAGTTCCATGATACCTCTGCAAGTCATAGCTGTAACTGTCAGTTTTGTAATGTTGCAATGCCTCATGGGAAATGTAGTTCCACAACAGCTAGAGAGGTTGCCTACCCCTGCCTAGACTAAAGGCTCTACGTGAGTTTAATTACCACCTTAATCAGCCAAAAAACCTGTATAATTCATACATGTTCGGCTTTAAAGGGATGAGGTGGCCACCCTGGTCTGAAGGGTTGCGGATTTTTAAAAATTATTTTTAGCCATTGGAAGGCAAAAAAAAAACCAACGTTGAGTGCATTTTTTTCCCTTTATTCATGTGCCCTATTGGGACCGAACCACATGACTCCTCCCCAGAACGAGCTCACGTGCTTTTTTTGAGTCACAAGCTTCAAGAGACCGAAACCGTCCTCTCTGCTCCTCGCAAGACCTCCTGCTCTCTAGCTCCCTTGTCTCCTCCTCCCATGCTCGTCTCCAGGACTTCTCCAGAGCTTCCCCCAGCCTCTGGAACTCTCTACCCCAATTTATCAGACTATCGCCTACTCTGCTCACTTTTAGGCAATCTCTGAAAACCTCTCTCTTCAGGGAAGCCTATCCTGCCTTCAGCTAATAATGGAATCTATTCCTCCTACCAGTCCATCCCCCACAGTCATTACCTTTTGTACCACTAGCCCCTCCCTCCTAGATTGTAAGCTCCCAGGATCAGGCCCTCCTAACCCTCTTGTATTGAAATGTATTGTTGCTGTATTGTCTTCCTTTATATTGTAAAGCGCTGAGCAAACTGTTGGCGCCATAAATCCTGTATAATAATAATATATAAATCCTGTATAATAATAATAAGAATAATAAGAATAAATCCTGAATAATAATAATAATTATAATACTAATAATAAAAAAAAATAAATCCTGAATAATAATAATAATAATAATAATAATAAATCCTGAATAATAATAATTATAATACTAATAATAAAAATAATAAATCCTGAATAATAATAATAATAATAATAATAATAAATCCTGTATAATAATAATAATATTAATAAGAAGAAAAAAAAATAATAAATCCTGTATAATAATAATAATAATAATAATAATAATAATAATAATAATAAATCCTGAATAATAATAAATCCTGAATAATAATAATAAATCATGTATAATAATAATAATAATAATAATAAATAAATCCTGAATAATAATAATAATAATAAATCCTGTATAATAATAATAATAATAATAATAATAATAATAATAATAATAAATCCTGAATAATAATAATAATAATAATAAATCCTGTATAATAACAATAATAATATCCCATGATGGCACCTTTCTATTGTTCAGGCGTGAATGGGGCCAGATTAACCTCCCCCCCCCATCCCCCCTGCACACACCAAACTGCAACGAGTTATCGCGCAATGAACTGGCATGAATGAGGCCATGCTGGGCACTCAGCAAAAATTTTTAGACCCTAGATGGAATTGGTGGCTTTCTGCAGATGGGCCCATTTGTAGGAATGACTGGGTCACGGGCAGGGATGGACTGACAACTCATGGGGCCCCCAGGCAACAGGGGATCATGGGGTCCCTGTGTCCTCACCCACACCCAATAAAGCCTATGAAAA